ATATATGTATACAAATTATATAAATATAAATATTGTATATTACTTAATATTTAAAAATTGTTATTAATATAAAGCTATTAAAATTGATTTCGAACTCTGCTAGCTATGATTCTCTCAATAATCACTGATTGTGAAGACAACTGATTTAGTGAAATATTATGTAGAAGAAATTTAAACCTACTACAAATACGAACCCTCTCTAATTACTAATTGTGAATAGTATATCATAGCAATGACTGTGCAGCTTACTGTAATTTATGGAAAATTTTAATTTGTTATTATACGATAGGATATTTATTTAGTAGTTTGATTGATTAGAGAGGTTACAAATGTATAGATGATTGAAGAAAACTATATAGCATGCAGATCAATCAATGTTCGAAGTTATATATATATATATTATGTTCCAATAAAATTAAAAACGTAATAAATAATATATAAAAGAAATTAGTGGTATTTTTTTAAATAATGGTTCAATTAAAAATAAACAATTTCATTAAATATATTTATATTTAGAAAATAAAAATGAATATACAAGAAAGGAAAATAAAACAATTTTTCGATATTAAAGAAACAAACAAATATTTACAAAATGTAGGACGAATCATCAACTAATAATATCTTTATAATAGCGTATTTCCTAATTAGTTAATTTATTTAAAAAATAATAACATAAATATAACACAACCATAATCCAATAATGTTTTGCGAAACATTTCCATCATCTTTTCCTTTCGTGGAATTAAATATCTTCTTAAATTACGATGACTTACATTACAATCAAACATCACAACAGAGAGTTCCCTTAATTTGTGTGCGTGCATGTACGCACATTTAGAATTTAGAACGTCGAATAGAATGCCTGGGTCTGGGCTTGCGTAACCCTCGGACTAGGTCGGAAATTTTGGTTTTGATAATTTTGCTGTGGTGCGACTACACTACTACTACTACTACTACTATATTGAGCATTACTAGATTGAGCTGGCTGCTTGTATCTGTAGTTGAATTCAGAGCTCGCCTGGTTGATGGTGGCATCCGCCACATACTTAGGCCGGTGGAATGTGTTGTAGGTGTAATCGCTGGCGGCGCTGAATCCTGTCGGGAAGCTGCGAACCGGTAAGTTGGGAAGTGTGGGATTTAGGGCGTCGTTCAGAGTCACATCGTACTCGTTTTCATTAATATCTAAAGGATTTTTTTCTACCTTAGGTTTAGCTGTTGTCCTCTCCAATTCCTTGTTTGGCTTATATCGGAATTGGCTTATCGGTCTATTACTGACAGGTCTGTAGTCCTCGTCCTCATCCTCAATGGGAGTAGTGTTTTTGTTGTTTCTGTTGGAAACTTTAGATGAAACAGGCGATGATTTTTGCGTTTGCTTCTCATCATCGTTCGAATAGTCTCTTGGCCTAGAGCCATTTTGCTCACGCGATTTGTTGTTGCTCCTATACACTTCGGGCTCGACTTCCTCCTCTTCTTGATACTTTTGACTCTCCACCGGTCGCTGTATTTCCTTGATATCTTCAGATTTACCTCCAAGTGCTTGCAAACCTCTGGCGGCATATGGATTTCCTCCACGGCTCGGTAGGAACGGCCTCTTCACAACCCTGAAAGGCTTACTTGGTTCCTCTTTGGGCGCCTCAGTTGAGGTAGTTGTTGACGTTGATCTTCTGTTTTCATTTTTCCTATCCTTGTGCCTCGGAGGAGGTGCATCCTCATAGTCATCGTATTCTTCAACTGCTGGTCTTTTACGACTTCCTTGACCAACGCGTCGCTCATCATTTTTTGGTTTGTTTCTCAACGGTCTTTCATCCTCGTACTCGTAGTCATCCTCAACTGGTTTTCTGGTAGAAGATCCACCACGCTGTCTGGAAGCTAATGGTTTTCTCGTTTCTTTCTGCGTTTTACGTGAATCGCTTCCTGCAGGAGCTGAATCTAGTTTGTGCCTATTTCTCTTCGGTGGTTCGATTTCCTCGTACTCATCATAATACTCCTCATCCAAAGGTTTAGGTGTAGATTTTAACGTACTGGATTTAAAAGAGTATTTATTTGCTTCGTTTTTGGGAACGGGCGGACGAATCCTCGGTGCCGATCTTGGTCTATCATACACTGAACCACTAGGCTTAACTAATGGTTTATCTGTTAATGGTTCCTCTTTTGGTTTATCGTCGTTTTTCTTGGACGGTCTTCTATCTCTGTCCTCGTAATCGTCTTCTATTGGTCTTCTATTACCTTTTCTGGGTCTAGGCCTGCGCGTCTCCTCTTCATCAGCAGGTTTTCTTTCTTCATTTGTTCTTCTATCTTCTGGTTTTTTTCTTTCTACTGTTCTTCTTTCCTCCTTTGGACGTTTATTGTTGCGCTCTTCGCTTCTATCAAACCTTGGATCTTCATCAACTGCTTCCTCTTCATATTCGTCTTCGTACTTGCGACGATCTTTGTTTCTTCTGTTTTGATTATTACGTCTATCGTACGGTCTTCTTTCCTTCTCTTCGTCACCTCGTCGGCCGCTTCCTCTTCTTTCATACCTATCATCTTCATATTCCGCTTCGTATTCGTCTTCATAAACAGGTCGCGGACGAGGACGTGGACGCTGTTTCCTTCGCCTGCCTTCAGATCTAGATGATTCAGTAGCAGTGTATCTCGGTTCATCATATTCCTCATCCTCTTCGTATTCATCGTAGTAGTCATACTGGGGACGACGTCTACGTAGTGGTTTCCTTCTCCTGTTTGTAAGAGGACGACGTGCTGCTACTCCCGATAAAATTGCAGGTGGTTGCGGTGGAACATGAGTATAAAGAGTTACTGGCTTAATGGTGGTCGTCGTGGTGGCTTTATACAAAGCATCGTTCCTATTGGTAAATAATGAATTAGTAAAATAATAAATTCATTCGAATAAAGTATATAGATTACCTATGCCAGAATTTCGGAGAGTTGACACAGTCGACCTCAGAAACGAAGTGGCAGATGAACGTCTTTTGATCGAAGGCAGTGTAATTGGCACATAAGAAGTCGAAGCGCGTGCCGTACAAGCAGTGATGGTACACCTACGAACAAAACATATAATATTTAATTGAATTGACCCCATTGAACTGCGTCTTATGTAAGGATTGCAGAGGAGACGATCCGTTCTTCGGATCCGGAATTTCTCTAATTATGAAATCGATTACGTGAAAACGAAATATTTCCAAGAAAAAGTAAGTTCATTTCAAGGCGTGAACGAGTGGCGCTCTTCATTTTCGAGAGATGTTGTGAGATACTCTTTTTTTTTTCATATGCAAAGCAGGCGAGTGAAAGGAAGAAAGTCATTTGGAATTCATATCAAGTGCACGTACGGCGGCGACCGTTGGCTACGATTCTGCTCGCCTCTTGCAGCCAGTGACATGAAATACCAGCGATTATGAAATGAACCGCTTCCATTTTACAAATCCATTTTTATACCCGCAAAAAAAATAAAAATGAAAAAACATAACGGACACAAGGTTAGCAAGCAAAAAACGTTTTAGTTGCATTAGCTTTCGCCTATATGCTATTATCATTAGATACTAAAACTGTTTGGTAACACTTCGCGGAGTTAATTATTTGACAATTTCATTAACAACACAGCAATAAAGAATTGTTGCAAAGTAAAGCTTTTGGCAACTAGTGTTGTTTTTTGCAAGAGTTAAAGATTATTAAAAAAAAAAAGAATAAATAGTTTAATCTTGAAGAAGTAATCAAACTGTATTTGCAGGAAGTTGAAAGGAAGTTTGACTAATTATTTAGTAATAACAAACCTGACACTTGTGCTCAACACTTGCGTAGAAGCCATCGTGCAATCCATCGCATTTGAAGTCGATCTCTTCAGGAACCCTATCGAAAAACGGATACTCGGACAAATTGGCTCCATTCAATTCACGGGGAAGATTCGGATCGTTGACGTAATCCAATTGTGGAATGCCGGTGAACAAGGGCTTCGAAGAGTTCGTGCTTTCCGCTTCTGATGCCACCTGAGAACAACAAAAAAAAAAACGAACATCAATAATATAATTCATGCAAATTGCTTTCCTGAACTTTCAATTTGATCATTAAATATGATCACCTTGACTGGAAAAAAACGTTTTGAGAAAAGTTGCTTGGAAATGTCAAATTCGTAATCCGCTTCTCCAAATGCTATTTATTGTTTCTAAAGTCATTTTCATTAACAATCCATTATTTTGCTAAATGAGACTTTCTCATTGTTCTCGGCGGGACTTTTGAAAGTCTGGCCATAAAGTGTTATCGCCTATTTATTAATCACCTTGTAAGGCGATTCAACAGATTGATCTATATAAAAATACGTTCTATTTCAGTATTTGAAGAAAGTGTTATCATTTATTTGTATTTATACACCTCATTTAAAATATATAGAGCAGAACGTTAGTTCTATATCTCGATTAACTTTATTTAGTTAACTACGTCCAGATCATTCATTGACCGATCATTATTTTAAGTGGATCATTAATTATTTCCTTTTAGCTAGAAATCGAGCGCACATTTATAGGAGATGGATGCATAATGTAAAATTGTTTGTCCTAGTTGTTAAGAAATAATTCCAGGAACTGAAACTTTTCTCTCGTCTAATTAACAGTTCAGAACTAATTCGTTTTGAACGAGGATTTTTAATTACTAGTTAATTCCAACAATTATTATTGCAATTCCATTTAATATAATTTACTTCGATATTATTAAGTATCTTCCATTAGTATTCAATATTAAATTCTTTATTGATATTAATGCAATTTGTAATCCAATAAATATAAAATTTATATTAAAGACAAGACTAACCCCAATTTTAAGTCGATTTCTCTAAGTTTTAAAAGGTGTGGTACGCTAAAATTCAATATTTTTTCTTTGATTATTATATAATGAACACAAAATGTATCTGTTCAATTTAAATTTAGGTAGCATTAACTGGTAGAAGAAAAGGTCGTAAATTCTTGCGAAAGCAATGGCGAAACACGATTTTCTAATCAAAATTACAAATCTCCCGACAGTTATATAATCCGACTTGCAAATGAGATACTCATGGAGCCGTGGTTCGAGCAATAAAGAAAAAATAAATAAATAAATAAAAGAAACACCTAGCTAGATTTTGCCTAGTTCGTTACGATTTTCTTAGAACTCAGACTCTGCGTGTTTCCATTTACTACATGTGTTGTTCCCCCATAGAAAGTATAATAATATTTCATTGTATGCTCTACAGCTCAATACTGTCTATACACGGTGAAAGTACATAGAGACAGGGAAATGGCTATGAATACGTTATTCACATCCGTGTAATGCGTATTTTCGAAAACTTCTCAATTTTCTTGAACGCCGTTACTCCAGATTCGTGCGAGACACAAGTCACATAATTCTATTGCTTATATTCGTCGCATCTTTCAAGCTATTGACAATCAGAGACAAAAAAAAAGGATATGAATATACTGCAATATACCACCAGATTGTTACGTAACCGACTTAAATTTGATTCGGCGAGAAAGTTTTGCAGGCCGAAGTAGGCCCTGGCCAACAACAACAACAACAAGATCAACAACACCAACCAAAAAGAAACAACGAGTCGACAAGTGACAGATACGAATTCCGACCTTAATTGTTTCTTTGTGCGAAAAGTACGAAAAGAAAAATACGCTCTCGTTTCATTTGTTTCCGTTTCTTTTTCTTGCTTATCTTAAGTTCCAATCATCTTGCCTTTGCTTACCGTTGCAACAGCTTGGAACAATGTAATAATATTCTCGGTTTGCAATTTATTACACGGCGAAACGCGGATGGTGCGCTTCTCTCATTAGGCCGACCCGAAAACAATGACTATTTCTTTTATTGCCTTTGTGTGTCTGTTGTTGTTGCTGCTGCTTCTTTTTTTTTGAGAAATTCAGGAAAACCATTAATTAGCCTCAATTCTTGTCTACAGTTCATAAAAATAGAAACAGAACAATCTTTGGCTTTGACATTATTTCAATTACATTCGAGATATCTTCACTATTTACAAATTTTAACACTAAGGAAATTTACAAATTTATCACTATGCACATATTATCAAAAAAAAAATGTAACAAATACAAAATTTTATTAACGTTAAATTTAAATTTATTTCATTTAAAAATATTTAAGAGAAAATTTTTATTGAAAATTCAAGATATTTTCTTTGTAAGATTATGAAACTATTAGCAGAAGCAATTTTATTTTTCATTAAATATAATTTTCACAAATAAAATTTTCAAGTTTGTTAATTTTGTAAATCTTTTAATAGATGAAAACAAATATAAAAAGTTTGATTAGTATCAAACTCATTCATTATTAGTATAAATTTTTTTTACTTCGGTCTTTATTAATATAAAATAAATACATTACATCTGATATTATTAATTCAAATAAATAGAAATGCTAAGATAATCATTTAAATTGCAGAAAATCAACAAATTTTCATATATAATTTCTAGAGTTTGTGTTATGTGTCACAACTTTAATTTGCTTTTTATGGTCTACATTTCTTTGCTGAAAGCATATATTACCATATATTACCATCTTTATTATAATTGGATTACGTGTTAATGAATATTGTTAGTTTTATATTAATATTATTGAAAAACACTGTTCAAAGTGTATAATTTATATTATTAAGAAATATCATTAGTCTCAATTAAATTACTAACTTATACATAATAGAGTACACTCAAACCTGTTATTACACGTTTTATTTTTACACGATTTGAACAGTAATAAACATAATTAGGAGAATATCTCATTTGACAACATGAGATATTTTCCTAATTATAGATGAAACAATTTTGACGTATCTTGCGAACATTACAGCATTGTCAGTTAACAAAACTCTTGAGCATAATGAAATAATAGAAAAACTCTAATCTGCTAGAAGAAAATCATAGCGATAATGACAAAAAGATTTCTATCACTGCAAGTTTAATAAAAAAAGCTTCAATCCGCGAATTCCATAACAATTTTTTGATATATGCTGAAAATGCTGTAGTATCATACATTGTCATTCTTTAATTAATTATATTTTATTTGATAATTTCTGATTTTTCATAAACCAATTTAACTGCAAATTTATTTCTAACTGAAAACATAATGAAAATAAATGATTATTTATAAAATTAGTGATTACAATTAACTATTTCGAAGAATCATAAGAAATATCAAAAAAATGAAAGTTTTTTTTTTATATAATTTAAGGAGACTAAATGCCGTGCTTTCGGAAACATAATTTTCTGGAATAATATAGTAGATGTACTGGTTTATAGCCTCATTACACTTAATGACATCATTAACGCTAATTATGGGACGTGAAGTAGACATTTTCGGCAATGTGGGAATCTCCAAGCACTATTTATGCAAAATACGGTCATCAACTGTATTTTACTACCGTTTAATGCAAATTACAATAATCGCTTGTATATAATGTGTAATTAACAGAAAATCAAATAAGAACCAACCAAATATCAATATTTCTAAAATTATATGCAATTAATTTGTTTTTAAAATCAGAATATATCAAATTCTTGAAGTAAAAAAAAAAAAATAATAATAAGCATTTCTCGCTTGAAGAGAAAAATTCAAGCGAATACAAAAATGAAACAAAAAATAATACATTTCGGATAATCCCAAGGTAAGGTGATTCCTTAAAATTTACGGAACGTGGGCAGGTTAATAACATTGTGCCCTTGAAATGTAACTAAATATTTGCTAATTTATGTCTTCTGCGAAACCCACACGACACAACATTTATATGGACACATGGGAAGTGGTCGAAGGAAAATCCCAACCAAACTTGTAAAGTTCAACACATCATGAGAATTCTTGAAAACGTATTGAAAGCCTAACCAGATATCAACCAAGGTTAGCAACCACATTAATAATTTTTTTTTTTTTAAATATCAGAAAATTTCACAACAAATTTATTTTGTATTTCATTTAAATTTTCATTTTCATTTTAAATTTTGAAGGATTTATACGAAAAAATAACTAAATTTTCTTCATAGTTGTCTTTGTACGGGTCACTCCGCATATTGTTTAACTTTTATAAATTGTTTGGAAACTAATGGATGATTTGAATTTAACTAACGCATTTATAATAACTTACGTTTTGAAACAAATTGACATTTCACGTTGATAATTAGGAAAAAACCTTAGTATATTTTTAATAATATATAAAGAAATAAGACGTATTTCTTTTGATCTAAAAGAATTTACTAAAAACAATGTTGTTTTTTTGTAGACAGTTCACATTCAGCACGTAATTTGTGCACTTTCCAAAACTAAACAATATCCTTTCTAAATTAAGCCACGAACAAGACCCACATTTAGTCCAAATTAATACGAAAATGTTTAAGCTCGCAAATTAAAATATTACAAATATTCAATATAGTAATTTGCATAAATCGTGTTTTGTCTTTACGAAAGGAAACCTTCGAAGATCGATAAAAAAAAATGTTACGATGAAAAGTAAAAATACAGAAGAAGTTTGTTGCATAACACGAAAGCACGATTTATTGCTTACAATTAACTTAACGATTGGCTAACAAATCTTCATATAATTTTGTAATAATTTATAGCCATATTTCAATAACCGCAACGAGATAAAAATAAAGCTCACACAAATATCATTTTCAATTAGAAACGCCGAAACGTATTGATGATATAAGCCTATTCAATAGTAAACAATGTACTAATCATCACATATTTCTTGAAATATTATATTTTCTTCAATTTAATTAGTGTTGTTTTTTTAGCATATGCAGAACAACTGTTCGCAAAACAACAAAATTCGAAATTCCTTTTTTTTTTAAATTTTAGAAACTTAATATGTAACTGATATGCAAATGGTGAAATGAAATAATTTTCCATTCTAGTAAATGTCAATGTTATTTTGGATTTAGATGTTAATGTAGAATAATTTTAGTAAATTATACTGAAGCAACGCATAAAAGAGAATAAAAGAGAGAATCAAATTTGTTAAATAAGTTTATAATTCTATTTTCTTAATAAAAGATTCTATTTTACTACAATCATATTGTGATTATTTCATGTAAATATAACAAACGTTAGTTAAATTTTTGTAATTCAATATTCAATAATATTACATTAACTTAATTGCGATTTTGCACTATTGTTTATGTAATATAATTAATAATGCAATGAAAGTTTTGCAATAATGTTTCTGAATTTATGGGTACAATCAATGAGAGTACAATCTCTTTAGGTAATCGAATAATCGATTGCTCTAGTTGGCTTTGAATTTTACAATAGTTTAAAGCTATACAAAACTCAAGTGGTTAAAGCCTTATAAAAGTGTTTAAAGTTTCCTTTCAAATATAAAACAACTTTTCACTTAAAAATAACCTTGCTGTACTTAAAATCGGTATCTATATTGAAATCCTGACAGTATCATATTCCCGACAGTATAGAAATCCCGACAATTAATATTAAATAGTAATAATTAATAATCTAATTCTATTTTAGATTATTTCTTATTGTTAAAGCTATATCAAATAATAAAAGATATTGTCAAGATTTCGGTTGTCGGGAATTGTCGAAAAATTAGATCGTTGATACTTTAAGATATAGGTATAGATTTATCGGAGAACTATAACTTACCACTTCTTCAGAAACAGATTCCGGGGCTGCAGTCGTTGTTGTGGTTGTTGATGTAGTCGTGGAGGTTGATTTGAAGATCAGTGATGTTGCTCTGGCGCAGCTGACATCTTGTAAGCACAGCCACAGGACACCTGAAATCAACCAGAAATTGTACTTGCTTTCTACTGATACGATTTTCATTCCCAGCATCGCAGAGGAAACCGCCAAAGTTGTTTCTCTCTTTGTGCGAGATGAAAGGAAGCAAGAAAGTTTGCCGTCGCAAAAATTACCAATCCAATTGTACTATACTTTCCACAGAACGGAGTTATTAATTGATTATTAATGGTTACCAATCTAATGTGAAAGAAACCTTGAACAAAGCATACCGATAGAAATGTGGAACGCGAAGGTGATTTATTACAGAAGACATAATTGAAGGATTCCTATGCAATTGTACGCGTTTATAGAAAACATTTATATAAATTTGTGAAAGTATAACACATATAAATTATTCAATTTCAATATCGATAATTGAAATATTTTATAAAATATAAATATTTATACAAGGTGGCGCAAAAATAATGTAATTTGAGCTGCTATTTTGTTATAAATGAAAAAAAAGAGCTCTGTTTTCATCAAAAGTTTCTTTGAAAGTATGAAATTGGTTCCAAATTGGCGATTTCTTCTTCAATGGTAGCTTTCAAGATTTGCAAGGTTCGTTGTGGCAAACGCGAGATTTTAAAAGACCCAGTTTGCACGAGGCGTTCAGCTAAACGCTTGCAAAACGACGACGAAATTCACGTTGTGTTAAAACAACAGATTGAAAATTTGTCAAATAAGCAGTAACAATAAATTCACGTTCTTGAGGTGTGTATCGCTTTATGGCAGTGACATTTGGCTCCATCTGGCAGCCAATTCAAATTATGACATTACTTTTGCGCCACCTTGTATAATACAAATTTTATACTTCTTATTTGAATATGAAATATTTCAGTTATTCAAAATCAAAATCATGAACTAATAAATCTATTATGCATTATAGATTGTTATTAATAAAAAAATAGAATTTTGTGGAAGAGTTTATTCAAGGTTTTACGAAAGTAAAACCTATTATCTTCTAATTGACTACAAGTAAGTGCATTATACATAATTAGTACGCATTAAAATTTTATATAAATCAATATTCATAAGGAATGGAAGAAAAATGTATAATTAATATTGAAATTATTATAAATTTATATTTTTTAACTGCACTGACATTTGATTACTATCAATAAAATATCATAATTCATTTTTAAAAGAACATTTATTTAATTCTGTTAATTATGTAATTATTACAGAAATTATAACTTTATGTAAATATATACAAATTATCGAATAAAAAATTATAAAAGAAACTTATTTGTTTTTAGATATATCTTTGTTAAATTTTCTTAAAATAGAACTGTTCTGAATCTTGTAGAATATTGGGTTGGCCTATAAAAGATCGTTTCTGCTGTTTAAAGAAAATTGTTAACTTGGATTCTAACGTGCAATTTAATAAAAAGTTCATTGTACATTGTCAAATTTTGGAGTATTTATTTGTATTTGAAGATGAACTATTTTATTTAAGCAAAGTAAAAAGAAAAAACCAACCCAATTAGTTCTTTGATATAACTAATTAAACAAAAACATGTGATATGTCGATGAAAAGACTATTTTTTAATAATTAGATAAGTTCTTCACTTTAAATAAATGTTAGAAAT